GCGCTCGGCGTCCTCCCGCCCGGTCACCTGCGCAGGCACGGCCGTCCCTGGCTGGCACACCCTGTCCCCCCCTCGGGAGCTAGCGCAGTGCCATGAACCACGGAGGCAGACACGGGCACGTGAAAAAACATCTTGGAAAACACCAAAACAGATCTGAAGATGTTAAATGGTCGCTCTTACGAACAACTGGCTTCTAAACATCAGAGTTTATCAACACCCCGATAAAAACTACAAGCTGTGAATGGGAAAATGGGCAAATTATTACGGGTCTGGTCTTAACTTTTTTCTCAAGATAAGAAAAGCCTTTTGGAAAAAGTGAAGCAGCTTTGTTTCCTTCCTCCCTGCCCCCCTTTTTCCTCTTAAGAGCTGCCTTGTAACAAGACTGCAGAAAAGCAAACGAGTTCCTACCAGGCTGGCACTGGGTTTTCGGCACACCGTGTGCTCGGCAGAGGCGGCCCTGCCCTCGGTTACGGGGCACGAGGAAAGGCAGCTCCAGCACCGAGCACTGAGCTCCTTAAAACTTGTTGCAAAATGAGGATAAGGGAATTACATTGCAGGCTTCCTTTTTAAATCTAGCCCTTCCCTGAGGATTGTTGGTTAAGAGTTTATTGCATGGAAAAGTCTTAAAAAAGCCGCACGGCGCGTTCCCAGCTAACAGAACGCGCGCTGCAGCACTACAGCAAAAGCCTGGCAGGGGCGAGCTGCCGGCTGCGCGCTGGGCGTCCCCGAGGTACCGCTCGCACGGGCTGCTTCAGTCGGTGTCAAAACTTCCATTAGGAGCTTCAGAACGATACGGAGCTTGAGTGCTCGCAGGGCCAGTGTGGGAGAACGTTCGGTGTGTTGGGGAGTGCTGAACGGCCCGAGGGAAGGAAATCATCTGCGTTTTGAGACCGCTTGCCTGGGTCAAGATTCATTCACACACACAAGTGAACCCACACGTGGAATTCAGCTCAGGGCAAACTGTCATCTGCCTCCAGCGCTTGCCATACAATCATATTTAGTAAAAAAAAAAAAAAAAAAAAATCATAATTGTGTGTGCAGAATGCACATAGCCTGGTACCCGACCTGCAAACCACGTTGTACGTGACTGTGTCTGTGAGGTGACAGGAGGTGCAAGTCAATTTGAAGGACTAATGCAAAAATCTGAAGTAGTCCCATTAAACTAATTTTAATTGCTTGTAATACTAGCACTAGCTAAACATAATTTCAGCCAATTTGAGTAAAAATAATGCCAAAAAGAAAATATTTGGTATTTTTGGGGCAGTGGGGGTTGTTAAAAGCTTCACTATTGTATGTTTCCAAACTCTGCCCCCCAGCCCCCTTAGAAGGGGTCAGTGGGAGTTCTGGCTAAGTTACGGACTGAAATGTGACATTCCACTGCACCAGCCTAATCTTGTTGTAATTTCCTTTTCATTAATGAAAGCACTCAGCATTCTTGAAATGCAGTTCTGCCCACAGCCCTGACTGATTATGCCACTGTGCTTTAGATCTACTAAACTCAGCATGCAGGAAAACAGCCAGGCACAAAATAAGGTATTAACGAGCACTAAAGCTCACTTGCTTTTTTCCGTTTACCAGTTTTTACCTGTAAGTGTTTATCTCGCTTCTAGGTCTAAGGCAGAGCCCTCGTCATCCTTCCTACACCTGCAACCCTACCACGCTTCTGGTGCTGCGCACGGAATACGTATATTTAATGCCGCCACACATCTCGGGAGTCTGTCTTGTTGTTTTGCTTGCAGGACGGGTGCGTCGTGTTCTGTACGATGACATCAGGCAGCATCACAGCATGGTTCAAAGCCGCCGTAGTCGCTTACTCCGTTTCCCTGCCCGAAGCAGAGTCACAGGAAGGATTTCTGAGCTGGGGAGCTGCGCCGTCATGAACTGCCTACGGGGTGTGTAACAACAGACCTGCTGGTATACGCTGCATCGCCGTGTGGGTGCGTCTGTGGGCACACTCAGAAGAGTGATTTTCTGCATGAAAAGACAAAGGCAGCTCCACGGAGGAATTTAGGTGCATAAATGCCTGCTAAGGGACCTAATTCCCATTCGACTAATTAACTAAAAGCATAATTTGCAGAACATGATGCTGAATAAACCCTTATTTCTTTTTTTAAAGGGCAATGAGGACTTAAGAATGGAAATTCTGGCCCCTGAAACGCCATGGATGTTAGAAAAGTTTTAGATGGGCCCTGCCAGAGGCTGTGTGATTTGATGGCACATTATGAAACTGCATCCATGTGATGGAAAACTGAAAGCTGAAAAAATTGAGCAAATAATCCAAAACCAAATCACGTGAATTCAGCAAGCTTTTTCAGCTTGTGGTATCAAGAAGATTATAATTTACTGAAAAGTCTTAATTATTTAAATTTATGTTCTTAATATAATAAAATCATTTATCCAAATCGTAAGTTTTAGGATTAGCATGAGCTACAGCTCACTGTGGCACCTGGTGGTGTTGCCACTCCGGCGGCACAGAAGCTCTTCCAGTAGGAAAGCTTGCATGAATAAAGTAAAATTCATGTGATGTGGGAACCTGCTCAGTCAGCTTGGAATTCATGTTTCATTAATATTTGCACTAATACACTTAATCGTTCCTGTTGATCGGGGAGAAAAAGGGAGATGCAATCAGAGCACAGGGGATGTAGAAGCAAATGGAGGAGCGTCACCTTCCAAGCGATCGCTAAAGAAATCCCCTAGTGCAGCCAGCCCAGGGCTGCAGCCCCGCGCTGACCCTGCACGCCGGCTTCGGTGCCACAGCCCCGCCGGGCTCTGCTTCGCAACCCTTGCCAGGCAGTTAAAAAAAACTAAAAAAGAAAAAAAATCCAGACAGTTAAAAAGCTGGTGCTTCATAATAACATTAGGGGATAGTTCCTACTGTAGTAACTAATTTGCAATTTAATTTTTATGTGTGGGGTACTTTATCTCTCCTTTCCTATGTGCACAGGTGGTCTTCATACCACCACCCTCTCCCAGCGCCCGAACCCAAAGCACGTGCCAGGCATTTAGCAGCCTCAGCAGGTTTCTCTTCCACGCATGTGCGGTCTGCCCGGAGCCTGGCGAAAGCCCCTCGCACACCAAACCGCCTGCGCGGGATCTCCGAGTCCTGGCGTGTTTCAGGGGTGCCAGGGCCACAGCGGCCAGCAGGAACGCTGACAGCACCTGGCGTGGCTCGGGCCTTCCACGCGCTGTACACGGGACTACAGCAAAACTCCACAAAGTGTATTTGTACCTCTGTGGGAGGAGCACTAGGTCCGTACAGCAGACGGCTTTACACACAACGGCAGTATCGTCTTTTGAAGTTTAAAGTATAGAAAGTATAATTACCTGGGTCAGCGTACCCCTGATGGGAAGAGAAGAAAGGCTTAAGACCTTCTAGAGGCTCTTGCAAGCAGAAAAGTAAAATGTTCCTGGCCGTGCCCATGTGCTATAGCTACGCTCCTCTGACTTGGGTTTTTCAGGGCGTTGCTGATCCAGCTGGAAAAGGCGCGGGTGAGCCTGGCCCTCCCGGAGCTCTCCCTGCAGTCCGTTGCCATCGGTGGCATTCGGGTCAAGGGAAACTGGATCCCCTGAAAAAATCTCATGGGAGGTTTTCAAAATTTTTCAAAATTTTGTGCTATCAGTATGCTCTGCTGGCAACAGCACCTGGACTTTTACCTGAAGGGTTTTCAAACTGCGTACTTGAGTGGGAAAGCTTTTCCCAGGCTCGCTCCGTGCCATTCGCGGCTCCCCCCGTGATGCATCGTATCTCAGATTAAATCTGCTCCCATTCATTTTAAAGAGACTATGACTCAAATAAAAGATTGTATAAGGGTTAAAGCCTCACTGATCATGAATATAGCGAGCAGGGGCTAGCACAGCTTGGACCAGAGTAAAAATACACAGCATTGTAAGACTGGTGGACTGGGGAATGTAAATAAAGGGCCTGTAATTTTAAATTAAAAAGTTAAATAATGAAATTAGCAGCAACAAAAAAGGATTTACTGCCACCCATCACAACCTTCTTCCATTTATGAAGCATACCTGTCTAAACTCACTGCTCATCCACTTAGTGTGTTCACGTGGAATCAACTAAAAGTGTCAAACAAAAGGAAGTTAACCAATTTTCATGTAGGTTATTTAAACCTAGGTCCCAGAGTTGACAGTATAATTTATTAAGTATCTCACCCTGTATAGTGACATTTTTACTAATTAATATGGAGCCAGCTATACACACTGCATATGTACAGGTATTTTCATAAGGCATATAATATCTTTGCATTGAAAATAAATGAACATTATTAAATTTAATTTAATATATACTTTCTTTGAGGTGTTTATGAAAATATTTTTTCTCTATATTTTTGTATGTGACATGATAGAAATATTTCATGGGAAGTACAGGTTAATATATTTTATCTTTATAAAGGCATATACAACTTTGAGGCAGTGTTTCTGATGGACAGCAGAATTCCTAAAGAATTTGTATGTGCTTCTGTGTTTTGAAATTATATGAAATTGACTTTAAGAAGTAACTTGATTAAAAAAACGCACCAATGCACAGCCAGAGGCTGACAATTAAAACTAATACATAGCCACATGAACAATATATTTATATAGTTAATATATTTTTTCCAAGATGATCGGTACTAACATATAGTATTATACATTTGGCACTACCGTTTGCCATTGGTCCAGCAATTGGCAAAAAAATTGTTTCCTATGTATAAATCTGTGTGAACATTAGATCTGGCTAGACATATTTACTATTTATAAAAAAATATTTAGACGGTAAGCTCACGTTGAATAACTAGGTCTACTGTATTCTGGAAACTCTTCAGTAGTAATACAGCCTTCTCATGTTCCATATGTACAAAACTGTGTCCATTTGCCTGTAACACAAAAACAAGAAGAAGAGAAATCAAATGAGATTCTATTTAATGTCTTCATTCTGGGGGTGCAAAGGGATATATGAAAATTACAAACAAGGCTAAAATAAATAATAAGCATATAATGACTTCCTGCAAACAGGAGCTTGACCGTACCACTGAGAGAAGACCATTCTCTCTCCCTCCCTCAGACAGCTACTTCGAGCAGGGACTGGACTAGATGACCTCCGGGGCTCCTTTCTAACTTAAATTATTCTGTGACTCTATGATATTCTGCATATTTTCTGAAGAAACAATAACTCCGGCATGCAAGAGCTTCAAACAGAACAAAGCTGGCCCGTGAAGGTGATCAGGTACCGAACAAAGAGAGCGCTTGCCGCAGAGACCTGCCGTTTAGCCGTCCGTGAAAGCCTCAAGACCTCCCTGGGCTGCCGCGGCTGAGAAGGTAATCTGTCCACGGCAGAACCTGGTCTCTCCAGCTTACAGCAATTCTACAAACACACCGCACTTTACCTATATATATATATATATATAAACTAACATTTAAAAATAGGTTAGTGAAGCCTTCGTGCTTTGGTTAATAAACGACCACTGCTGTGAAATTACAGCCCTGTAGAAGGACTACGAGACACCTGTTGCACACAGCCAGAGCGCTGTACGTTGCTACCTTCTTGGCCACCATAAAGCCATACTGCGCCGTATTCTATACGGCAGACAGACTTCAGGAGCTGCCCCTTACCAGCAGCCAGCACGGCTGCGGGATTGAGCCAGCACGGCTGCGGTATTGGACAAGCTGCACGAAGTGGCGGCCAGAGCCCCCCGGGGTGCTCAGGCCACCCAGCTCACCTGTGAACTGAAGAAATTTCAGTTTATTCCCCACACAGCTCACTGGCATCTGTATTGCTCACTCGGGGAAAAAACCTAAACAAACCTGCGAGCAGGCCAGCTCTGCCTACTCCCCCTCTCGCTGTCCAGCTGCGCAGGGAGGGGTACAGGAAAACGTTGTGCAGCTTCAGATCTCGCTAGCAGAGAAACCTCTTTTCTACTAGAAAGGTTTCTCAGTGGAGGAGGGCTGTAGGAGATGCACATCCAAAAATACCTAAGCAGGCCACACACAGAGGGATTTGTTATTTAACGTATAAATAAATGATAATCGGAATCTACTTCTTTC